TAAAGAAAAACAAAACACAAACGATTCAATTTTTGTTTTCAGTTTTTTCCATAAGTTCTTGTGTTGTAAAAGAGAATGGAAATAAAAAAAAATTGTAGCACTCATGATAATCGTTTTCTATTAACATTAGTACCCTACAGTAGGCTTCCAGTTTGAAATACACACCACAGTAGAGTCGGTTAAGAACTTGACAACGCCAAAATGTTTAGAATATGTCTGACTCTGATGATCGATGTTAAGCGAAACTCTGGTGTCAATCACGAGATATGAACATTTTTTTTTTACTGTTTTTCAATATTGTAGATATCGCAATCAAACAAGTACATAAGTTTTTCTTATGCTCTTTCACACTCAATACCATCACCCCTGCATGTTAGTGGCTTTATTTCCTTGCTTGGGATGAAATGATAAAAAAAAGATATCTGAGAAGTGTTTTAATAGAAGACGGAAATTGCGACACTGAAATCCAAAGGCGCACTGGGATAGCGAAAGATGCCTTCCAAAATGAATAGTGACCTTTTATGTAATATCATTATTCCTATATGGCAGTGGATGCTGGATAATCTCCTCATATATGAAGAACAGACTTGAAGGAACAAAAATGGGTTACTGCAGAAGGATACCGTGAATACCACGGATCGAACATGCGAGCAACGACGATGTTCTAGAGACAATGTAAACAAAAAGGACACTTATACTTAACATCACTTAACTGCTTAAGAGGCAGTTGAAATTTTTAGGGCACATAATGAGGAAAGAAGGCTTGGGAAATTTGATACTCACAGGACATATTGAAGGCAAGAAGAACAGAGGAAAACAATACATAAACTACTTACAATGTGTAAACAGATGGTAGAACAGGGTTTAGGAGAGATAAAAAAAAAGTACAAAATATATTAAGAGCTACAAAGAACAGAAAATTGTGGATAGCCATGATTGCCAACGTTCTGAAGTGATAAGGCACAAAGAAGAAGAAGAAGAAGAAGAAGAAGAAGAAGTAGGAGGAGGAGGAGGAGCCTGTAATTTTAGCAACATAGATATGTAAACAACACAGTGTTGATAGAAGGCACAGAAAGGAAACTGCAGGAATTCCTAGAGAATGAAACAAAGGAAAGCAAAAAGAAAGGACTAATCGTGAATTGTAAGAAGACCGAATATATGGTAATCAGCAAGAACATTCTAAGATATAAACTAAACATTGGAAGTACCAAAATTGAATAAATATGAAAATTTAAATATCTGGGAAGTCTTTTAATAGAGGATGGAAAATGTGGCACTGAGATCTGAAGGTGCATTGGAACAGTGAATGATTCCTTCCAAAATCTAATTTTTATTAGAAACAAAGAAAAGACGGCTGAACTGTTATTTAATATCAGTCCTTCTCTATGGTAGTGAATGCTGGATAATCTCATCACATATGAAGAACAGACTTGAAGCAACAGAAATGGGATACTACAGAAGCATACTGAGAATACCATGGACCGAACATGTGAGCAACCGGGGAGTTCTAGAGACAATGCAAACGAAATGGACACTTATACGTACATCGGGAAGAGACAGTTAAAATTTCTAGGGCACATAATGAGGAAAGAGGGCTTGGGAAATTTGATACTCAATGATATATTGAAGGTCATAGTGACAAAGGAAAAGAACACATAACCTATTGGCGATCATGAGTGAATGGGTGGTGGATTAGAGTTTGGAAGAGATAATAAAGATATAAAATTAATTAAGAGCTACAAAGTCCATGAAATTATGGAGATCCATGCCGTGCCCTATTATCTATTAAGCACTTCCTTTGCAAAGATTTTGCTAACCTTAAAATACATTAAATATATCTAATTATAATATATTAAGGCTCTGCTAGTTAATATGGCGTTTCGCCGATGTGTATAGCAGCCTCTCTTATGAACAGCTGTTTATATATATATATATATATATATATATATATATATATATATATATATATATATGAAAATATATAGAAAATAGGAAGGAACTAGTTAGGTAAATAATCCAAAGTTCCTTAGTATTTTAGTTATTATATTTAAAAAATAGTGCTCGATACAAAAGTAGAGCATAAATAGCTGTTACCATGGAAATTTTGATTTCAATTATTAAAACACGTAAATTTCAGAAATACGTTATTCCAAAAAAAAATTCGCTTGGTGATGGAACAGAGCTTACTTTTACTCAATTTAATTCAAATAATTATATTGAATTTTTCGGCTCTTGTTTTGAAACATGAGACCTTTTATGTCGCGAGTTGGAATCATATTTTTAAATAAATAATTATATATAATATATATATATATATATATATATATATATATATATATATATATATCAAATAAGTGGTGCAGTCCAATTTATATTACAATGAATCATTCATACAAAAAGTAGATTAGTAAAGTTAATGATATAAAATGGCGAAAACTCTTCGCAAACAAAATATTAAAGTTGCATTAACGTACGAACCACTCGATGAATGTTATGATCC